GGGAGAGGGCGGGGAGAAGGAGTCAGCAGGAACCGGACGCCTCCAGGCGAGGGGAGACGCGCTTGGACTCGAGGTGGCTTGCGCCGAGGGTCCAGGGGGCGCCGAGCGCAGGTGCGTGGTGCGGGAACCGCCCTTGGAGTCACAACAGGGTGCCAGGGCTGGGAAGTCGCGCTCTCCTTGCACCGCCAATAAAACTAACAGAAGGGAGCCAACACTGGGAGGCAGAGAAAAGGAATGAGAGGCCACCAGGCCTAGAACTGAAGTAACTGGTGTTCGTGTGCCTCTCTTCAGTAAGCCCAAAGAGATGCATGCATTCTATTGGAATGGGCGGGGAACTGCCTTTCTAGGCAGAGAACAATATAACGTAAATGTAGAACAAGGTCAAGGTAGCTTTCGCTACCAGTAACACCCTCCCCCCATCCCGACCAAAGCAGAGTTGAGAACCTCTTGTGGACGCTTCATGGGACCTGCTATAAACTATAGTTATTTCTGCTTCATACCCCACCAGAACCTCATACAATTTTGGGTGCTTAATGCGTGCTTCATAATTATTGAAAGAATCAATCTGTGGGTCGTATAACTGTGCTAATTTTATTTTATTATGAGCAGAATATATTTATTGAGAGAAAGAAAGCTCCTGTCCCGAGGGGGGGGGCAAGCGGGTAGTTCCCCCAACTGTAAACTATAAAAATTAAAAATTGAATCATATGGGAAAATGTATTAAGTCATTAACCCAGTAGTGCCATAGGAACTATAATAGCTGTTACCTGTCACATGCAGACACAATTGCCATTAATCATATTATTCAGGTTTGTAAACTATTTATATGCTCAGGGATAGCCACTGTCTGGACTTTTATTAGCCTAAAACAAGGTAGGGATAAGGACAGAGTGTGTAACAAGCAAATGGTGGTAAGACGTTTCAGTATGCCCTTCCCAAAGAGAATACTTTAACATTTTGCTTGCTTAATTTTCATTACAAATAAGTGTTATCAATTCAGAAAGAATGCATAAATATGAAGTGTTCTATGTTGATTTATTCAATTTTATAACATCTCTTCTAGGAAGGAATAATAAGAGCTCCTAAGATGTTCCCTTTATCGAAAAGAAGACAGACAGGCAAGTATCCCATCACAGTCAGTCGGCCAGCAGCAGAGACGGTCTGGGGCGTCTATGTGAGGAGGCTGAGCTGGGCCCAGACCCGGAAAGCTCAGAGTCCCCCTTCCCAGTGCTTTAGTTTAGCGTCTGAGCTCTAGAAACTGCTCTTGTGAGCCTTGCGCTTGTCCACGTGAGATAATCTCTCTCTTCCATTTGGCAGCGGGAGAAATGTAATTTTCTCCATGTGATGAGCGTGAGTGAATGGCTCATGCATAGTGAATGGCGCGCCTCCAAACTGTGGGCCCAGAGACGATGAAATATGCATTTTAATAACGGAGTCCATTACCACACAATGCCGGGGGAATGAATAGGAACAAGGGTATCTAGGCATTCTCCATCATGCTCTGTCACCTGGGCTCCTTCTCTTGTGGGTGCTGCTCTCAGAAAACAAGCTAAGTCTTAGTTTTACTCCATGGGGAAGAAAGAATCCTAAAGAAGCTAGCTGAGGTAGGTGGCAGGAGGTAGAAAAGAACTGCACAGAACTCAGGAGATGGGAAGTTCACAAAGTCATTCTCTCTCTCTCTCTCTCTCTCTCTCTCTCTCTCTC